TCTAATCTGATAATAATTCATAAAACCTCTGTAAATTACAATCTTATTAAACTCGAATTCTTAAACCTTACTAACACATGGATTCAGCATGAAATTTTTCACTACTTGAGGCTTAGCTAAACACAACCAGAACAGGGCATAAACTCGAATTCTTCGCCATTCATTTACTTACAATCTTATTAATCTTAATAAATTCAAAACATACAAGATAAGTCTCTTCTTTGAATTTTAACCTTAATAATTACTCTATGCTCGGCCATAAAAGAGGTAAAATCGGGTTCAGCCAAAAAAAAAAATACCTTATGTCGGCTAAATAAGAAATGTAGAAGAGGGGCTCGGGTCTCGGTTTTTCTCGGGCAAAAGCGGGGGCTGAATGCCGTGAGCTGCGGGCTCGTGGACTCGAGCTAGAACCACGGGCTTGGACGTGGTCGTGGCTTGCCGGCGCGGAGGTCACCGGACGGCGGTGACTTCGTCGGAAGTTGGAGGGTGACCGGATTTTCTTTTGAAAAAGCTAGGAGGTGGTGTATGCGATGAAGAACTTGGAGGAAGACGAGGATGATAATGGTGTGTTGGGAGGATGTATTTATGGGGAAGATAGATAGTTAGGTGTTGATTATTTATAGTTTCAAGTTAAAAAAAAATAGTTTTTATTTGATTTATTTTTAATTATAGTTAATTTTGAAGAAAAAAATTGTGTGGTTAGTTGTTAGTAGATATATTAAAACAATTAAAGTTGATTTTGGTGTAAAGTATGAGAAAAATGATTGGGAAAAATGATTGGAAGTGATAGTTAGTTAGAATAATGTGAGTGGATGAATAGTGAATTAAAGTTGATGTGATGTGTAAGAATGATCGGTTGATATTATTTAATTATATTATTAATATTGAAGATAGTTGGGTAGAATTAAAGTTTAAACAAGTATTCATCCTGTGCACATGCACAAAGAAAAATTAAAATTTATATATTATATTTATGTATACAAAATATACGAATTTTATATTAAATAATTGATGTATTACATTTTAAATTTGGACTACATGCAAATGTGTAATGAAATATAATTTATTTAACTTACGTATGAATCTTTATATTGATGCCATAAATATTAATAGCTAATAAAATTTAGTAATTTAGAGAGATCATACAATTAATTAGTTAAAAAAGTATTACAATTATTTTTATCATTGTTATAGCATTTGTTTATGTGATTTTAAGGTGTTTAATTATGATACTCATGCCAATTAACTTATTAGATAAAAATTGCTTTAAAAGAACAAAAATATTTATTTTAGAAAAAGTATTTTAAAGAAAAAAATTACAATACAATTTTTTATAAGTATGTAACTTCCACATACTATTTAATGTAAAGTTGTAATAAATTAGTGTTAGTAGTGAATAAATTATACTAAAATTATTATTACACCTTATTAATGTAAAATGTAACGGTTCTACATTAAATGAGCGGGAAAATGAATGGAGGTTTTATTAAATGTTTTATTAAATTCTATATGCCAGCAATTATATATATATAGATTTGAGATTTGATTGGACTTTTTACTATTGAATAGATATACAATCACACCCTTAGGGTTTTGTGTCATTTTGGACTTACCAGCTTTTAAAATCGGCTCGAAATATTACTGCTACTAGGCTCGATTATTTAAAATACTACTAGGGCTCGTTAAATTAAAGTGAAAATAGCTATTATCACTCCGTTTCGAAGTCTGTTAAGTTTTTCACACCGTTCAATAGAAAGTTAAGGGGGCGCTTGTTTATGGATTTTTTCAACCAAAATATTTCATTTTGTTAACTATAGTTAAAGTTGAAAAAGTAATGTGGTTAATTGTTAGTGGAATTTAAAAAATATATTAAAATAATATTTAAAATAAAAATGATTAAAGTTGATTTGATATAAAGTAGGAGATAAATGATTGGAAATGATTGGTAGTTAAAATTATGTGAGTGGATAAATAGTGAATTAAAGTTGATGTGATGTGTAAGAATGATTGGTTTTTATTATTTTAATTGTATGAATAATATTAAAGATAGTGGAGTTGAGTTAAAATTGAGTTAAATATTTGAGTTGAAAAAATTGGATTGAAAAAATCCATAAACAAGCATGCCCTAAGTTTTTCACCACAGAAAGTGCGAAAGGCATTATGTGATGAATATGCGACAATTGTGCGATGATATACTGCGAAAGTTAAAAGTACGAAGACATTTGCATATCCCTTTGAACTTTCTGGGATGAAAAAAAGTTAAAGTGTGAAGGCATTGTGCGATGAATATGCGACAGTTATGCAATTGATATGCGACAGTTATGCGATAAATATTCGACAATTTTCGCATAACCTTCGCACAATTCGGGGTGAAAAACTTAACTTTTTTATTGGGCGATGTGAAAAACTTAATGTGTCTTTGTATTGGAGTGAAATTTTTTTTTTTTCATAAATTAAATACCGCTTGGACCGAATATTAACGACTCAATTTAAATAATTGGGCCGGTTGACCAGAATAAAATGGCCCACTTAAATGGGCCCGGAAACTGGGATCGTTAGGAAATTAAATAAATTCCCGACTTTTCTGATACTTGAATAAAATTATACATCGAGACTTAGACTTAGAATTTTATCTCGTTTCCGAAATAATATTCGAACGTTTTCTCCATGGGCTTAGGCTTATAACTTAATAAATTATGCGATTAATATAAATAAATTAAGGCATAGTTAATAAACTTACTGTTTCTGAAAAATAAAGTCGAGCTAAATATATAAACCTGTTTTGGGGCTTACAATCTATAATCCTTAAAACATTTTCATCCCCGAAATTACAAATCTAAAGCCTAAGTCCAACTCAACTATAAACTATAAAATGAAAAATGCACAGTACAAAAGTACTAATCAGAACTGAAAATCTTGATATGCAGCCTTGAATTCAGTCTTCTTCTTACTAGTGATCTTGGCTTTGCCATGGCAACTCCGACTTCAGGCCCCAGACAAAATCGGACTAATGACTCTTATTTCAAACCTTCATAATTTACTCGGCTTTTGACTATTATACACCGTTAACTCAAGTTCAAGAACCAAGGGTCTCTATATGGATATTGTATAAGGTTGTACCGGCATCAACCGATCTTGCTAGTACTAGTTTGCCACGCCGTTTTGCCAAAATTCACTATGTGTCTCAAGAAAATTCAAGGCATAACTATCTGTCGGGACTTAAAAAACGAAGCTCATCTATCTTTATTCTTTTAGCAACATCGCCATTGCTATGGCGATAATAGAGGCCTACTTCTCGGCTCTCTAACTAGCGTACCTTCCGCCACAAGGTGGTCGTGGTACTATCTCACGTCTCAACTCGGATCAACGTAAGACGCATCTAAGTTTATCCACGTGTTCGAGCTCGAGCACAACTTCTCAAACTCGAGGCGTGGAGAAATCTCTAAACATTTCCTTAAAATTCAGCGACAAAGCCCAAAACGTTAGACTTAGAAATCACCATCTCAGCTATAAGTTGAAAAATGGTTGGGGTATAACTATGTTGTGGTCACCTTGCGGCTGCAACTGCAACCCTCAGGTCACCTTGTCGTACACACTGGTTTGAAAGTCTTTTTGTTACTGGCATGTACGCGACTTTCGCAACTTCAAGATTGTCTTAGTATTGACATGAATCACTGATTTCTACTCTCTTGTCTGTCGGTGTACTATTGACCGAGAAACATTCTCTCGCTATCTCTTTCTTGTATGTTAGAGATCCACACTCGTATCCGTACCAAAACGTAAGGTGTCATGTCTATCATCTATTAACTGCTTTAGTAGCACATCGTTCAACCGAACGCATCTGTCGCTCAGAACGAAAGTCGTTCAGCATTCCGATCATTTTTCCTGCTATCCATCGATCTGTAAAACCGATGAGAACAACTAACAATTGTGGTTCACCTCATCATGACCCGACTCTTGACTAGGCAGCACATTGTATGCAGCATGTCGCATGCGGTTTCCCACTACCCAGGGCCAACGAGCGTGGAACACCTGCGTGCGATGTACTTGCGGCATCCACTTCTTACGTTAATTGAATGATTCATTTACTCAGTCAAAGCGACCAATGTCTTTTTTTTTTAAATAAAACTCAAAATCAAACAAAAATATTCCAAATTATTGAAATTGAAAACCAAAGCCAAACTGACGAAAAAAGCAACGAGCCAAAATTTATATTTTCATCACCTATTTAAGCTATTTTGGGTCTATTGTCTAACCGAAGTTTTCACACCCATAATTCATTCTAATAATTTTGCTCACAGATCATCTAATAAACCAACTATTCGCCATCACACCACATTTTGCTTTCAAAACATTTTTTCTTCTTCCAATTTGATAAAACCTTCGCATTTCGCCCAGTCCGCCTAATAAGATAAATCAGCATCGATAAATAAAACCGACGATCAACATATTTTCTGACATTACACATTGCAATGCATCTACAAATGGACTGCAGTGCAGAGCCAGGAGTAATATAAGCTTCGATATAACACAAGTGTGACCTAAATTGGCAAAAATGGCATGAAAAACATAAGCAGACCAACTTCGTGCGCATTTATGGTCAAAGTTCACAAACCAGGCCCTTTTTCTACGTTTTGTGCCCTTTTTGTATCTGACTGAACTCCTTTATCTTTTTTAGCCCTCTCAGTATACAGAACCTTCAAGTACCAAATACAAGCCACATTACAGTTTTTTAGATAAATTAGAACAAAGTATAATAATAGCTAAACATTCAAACGGTGTACCTTATCGATAATCCCATATTCAACAGCTTCACTGGGGCTAAAGTATTTTGGACGCCTTATATCTGCTTCAATCTGCTCTTCTGACTTACCAATGTATTGCGCGTAGAGTTTTACCTTCAAGTCAAACATCAAATTCTTAATGCAAGATTCAACCAAAAGAATTACTGTTAAGTGATGAAGAGATCAGATCAAGCGAACTTCAGGTATTTGCAAATCCCGAGAATAAATACTGAACCAATTACTTTATTCAAGTTTTCGGGTATACAGAAATTAGAAACTCTTTGCAACGTAACATCAAACAAGAAGCTATAAGCAAACGCCTTTCACAGGAACCTCAAAATTTGAGCCGTAAAAATGGAAGTTCCATGAACTTAATGAGAAATATGAAGAGAACGTTTTTGACAACTTTACCAAAGTACCCTTCAGACGTTTGAGTTCTTGTCTCATAACCTCCACATCAGTAGCTCGACCCTGAAACCTGGAAATTGGCTGCAAAATTGTACCAGTAGTGCATGTTTGAGTAGAATTACCACCAAGTATCAATAAAAATTATAACATTGATAGAAATTAAGTGATACTTATGTTCCCAGATAAGAATATATAGTTCAAATGCTCATTATGGACTGTATGTAGGACACCAAGCGAAATAATACTTCTTTCCTTCAAAACACTTCAATTTAGATACACAACAATGTATGGCTAAAAAATAAACCTGCTTTATCATGATTGTAGCTGAGGGTATGGCAGCACGATACCCCTTTGCACCAGCAGCCAGTAGCATTGCAGCTTCTCCCCATGCATTACCGACACAAATTGTACAAATAGGCGCGTGCAGAAATCTACAAAATTTTATTGATTTTAGGACTATAAAATGAAGTAAAGTCCACAATTTTCACTTATACAATTAACAGTCTGCGTCTACCCTCCTCATTACTCTAAAATTTGAGCAGAACTTGTGTATAGAATTTGTTCAGTTGAAAAAAAAAAAGGAAACATATTTAAAGATGGTTTGCATCTACATTTAGATGATAAATGATTTAGAATGTAAAGAGACTATTTTCTGTGTCATGCTTCTTTTTTTCACTATTGCAGCAGCTAAAGTAAAATGACTTGTGTATAGAATTTATGCAAAAAACGAAACATTTTAAAGATGGTTTTTATCTACATTTAGATGATAAATAAATTAGAAGGTAAAGAACTATTTGCTGTGTCATGCTTCTTTTTTCACTATTGCAGCAGCTAAAATAAAGCGACTATAATTTTCACGTTTTATACATTTACGTAATTCAACCACTACTTGGGCCTCTCCTGATGGAGACAATAAATGTACCAGCTTTCCATTGCCTCAGAGACAAAGCTAAAACTTAGAACAAATTATTGAGATGTATAGCTAAAGATTAAAACCTCATACAATCATGTATTCCAAAAGCTTCAGTGTCATAGCCTAACTTCCCCTCACTCTGCAATAAACAACAATTAAAAAATTTGCTAGATAAAAAAAAGATGAACACCAAATAAGTACCACATGTATAAAATTTTGGCCAAATATAGGAACTCATAAAAGTATAGACAACTATAACCATCTACAATAGCAACACACAAGCAAGGCGATCAAGACGGCAATAGAAGGAAAAATACAATAAACATCAACTATAAATATTGAAACCATTTCATATATCTATAGACATAGTATTCAGATCACACGGTGCAAAGCAGACACTTCTCTCTGTTTTTAAGTCGATTATCTTGTTTGCACGCGGTATACATAATAATGGTGGTTTACAACTCCAAAACATGAGTGCTACCAAGGAAAATGTACAAAGTCTCTTTGTACCATTAGGTCTCCAAGTTTCCTAAGAGTTACCCAGCATGAGAAGGCAGTCTCGCAATCTTGTGGCGCTGAATTGGCAATTAGCTAGGAGTTAGGACTTAACTTGAATTAGAAGACTGAAACTGGCAAATTGCGCACTCGTGGGTAAAACTGAAGTACAAATCTTCTGTGGGTGCTGACTTCCATTCAAATAAAAATTTGAATAGTAGAGATGTATTTTGTTCATTCCTAGGTTATCACCCTTTTAGAAAACTCGACGCCACTATTACAGGGTAGTCTCCCTCATTTTGTTGTGTGATATGAATAGGATATGACGAGCTTCCATTCTAAAAATTCTATTGGCAAATGCCTCTCTGTGTGTAAGCCTGTCCATACATGCGTGTGTGAAAAACATAGACAGACTACGGAGAGTGGGTGGTAAATTTGTCTAGTAATAACCAACATTTCTAATGGCGGGCATCACAAAATTTACGGTTTCAGCATGGCAGGTGGTGCAGCTAAAATCTAACTGAAACCTACCCAAACGACCTTTTAATATGGACTCTTTCATCTATCTCTCGACTATACTTCCTTTAAAGTTTCAAAACTGTTCCTGTCAACGCCATGTAAAGTCTACTGGCTTCACGGGTTCAGTCAATTTATGTTTAGGCCTTTGCAAACAATAATGCTATGTAATCGAGAGGTGGGATATCTGCGCATTTAATTTGAAAGCATCAGAACTGACATTTATGATATTGAACCTATCACATCATACTTTCAGCATATCAATGAGGGTATTCATTTTTTATATGGATTCTTTCTTCCCTCTCTAAAACCTATCTCATTTCCTGAAATGCACAACCTAATGACCAGGTAAGATTAAAAAATACTGCTGACTGAAGTATAATGTTATGAGCTCACCATCACGCAAGCAAATGGCCCTAAATGAATGTTTATTAAACACATCACCGGCAAAATTTTACGGGTCCTGGATTATTATCAATCTCTTACAGAATGACAATTCAAAAGATTATACAAGCTCTGACCTTGGTCGTCCCAGTGGAATTTATGTATAGGTAAATTGGTTTTTGTTTATCTTCGTGCTGGAGGTAAAGAAATTCTGCTGTCAACAATTCGTGAACAGGTGGAGAGAGAGGCATTCCCAAGTACACGATTCGCTCAGCTAAGAGGAGTGACGCTAAATCCGGGGGAGGTTGCTCCGAAGCGGCTCTAATTTCGTCTCCAGTTTGGAAAGGAATCACCTGTTAAACACAAGATGCAGCAACTCAACACTGATACAACACTTCAAATCAAACCCCCAGACATGTACAATGAATTCTAGAACACCATGACTGGATTTCGCAATTAAGGGAACAACTGAAAAAGGATAAAACAATTACACAAATTACAGAACACGACGGCGCATTAATCCTTCGATAACGTACCATCGTGATGACACCGCGTTTCGGGCGGCCGGAGGAAGAGCTGAGAGAAGCGGGTCGGAATTTCAGACCCGAAAAGTCGCTCGATAGGCCGCCACCGCCGACATAAGGAGGCAGCAAATTGGATGCCGGAGAAGATCTAGGAGAAAACGGAGGTGGAGAGGGTAGAAACAGATTCGGGCTTGGAGTCGTCCGGGCGGTTGGAAAGGATATCGACGCCATAGCTGCAGCTTGAGTTGAGGTGTGATGAGTTGCAGCAAAAGGGTTGGTTTTGACGGGATTTGAAATGGATATGTTCCGGACCTTTAGCGGGTTGGTGGACTTTCCACCGGGTCGGTTTGGTAGAAGAGGTTTTAATTTTAAGGGTTAACGGATTATATATCTATTCTTTCTTTTACACATCACCCGTCAAATAACTTTATTTACACTCCAAATTCACGAAATGCTATACAATATTACACTCGCATGTCTAAAGAACCAACGCATATCCAACCGGCCGCATAATTTATGACTATGCGAAAACATTTCGCATATTTAGTAATCTCATATCCACAATAAACGTATAATTTACAAATATGCGAACATCTTTCGCATTTTTATGTATCGCATATTCAAATCGAATGCAGCATAATTTACGATGATTATGCGCCTTCTTTTCGCATGGCTATATCAACATTGTAAATTTATGACTATGCGAAAATATTTCACATATAATTCGCATAATTTGTTGAATTTGCATTTTCTGGTAATTGCATATTCAAGTCAATCGCATAATTTACTAATGTGCGAAAAACTTTCGCATATATCCGTTCATTGACAATTATGCGACATTTTTCGCTCGCATATTGAAGAATCGCATAACCAAATCGAATAAATCATAATTTATTTGACGATTATGCGCCATTTTTTCGCAGGGCAATATCGACATGGCAATTTTATGACTATTCGAAATTTGATCGCATATCTGTCGCATAAGTTACGCACCTCATTAATTGAGGATTTTATTTGTACATTTATCATGCAGGCAAAAAAACTGCATTTCTCTGTTTCTTTCGTTTTAATTCGTTTTGTTGTTCACTTATTTAAATGGTTAGCAACCGTGTTAGAGTATGCGTGAGCTATGGTGGTACGTTTTCCGGGGGTTCATATCTTGGTGGAGTGACAAAGCTGATGAGAATAAATTACGGCCGACAAATGTATTATGAAGTAGTTTCTCGTGTTCAAGCATTATTAAGGCCGATCCTTATAATTTTTGAGTACATATTGTGGAGCAGTATTTGATGGAAGGGAACGAGTTGTTAAGATGAAAATAGAATCCAGTGAGGATAGTTTAGAGCTGATTGAAGAACAAAGAAATCCCAACATTTACGTGGAGTTGGAGAAGCAAGTAAATGTAGGGATTCTGGAGACGGAGCAACAAAGCTTCACGCAAATGATGGTGTCCCAAGGTGTATTTTCTACTTATTTTGGTGTTGGTAGTTCTGCATTTTCCCACGAGGCCCTATATTCACATTAAGCAGATCCTAGTTCATTTACACATATTGGATATCCTCAGGGCGTTGATGATCAAACCACGGGTTATTCGAACCAACCAGGTCATTCTCGTGACGATGACAATAATGATGACCAAACCAACACGCACAATGATGACTCAGGCGACGAAGACAAAGAGGTCAATGAGAAGCAAACCAACATGTTCATATTTAATGTTTTAAAAGAAGTATATATGGGTGTTTTCAAATGTTTGGAGATCAGAGACTTCGACTGTTTCCCAAGCTCTTCTTGACTGTTCTGAATTTTCCAGTTTCTGTAAATAGTTGTTGTTACCTTTATTTTAGTTGTTATTGCTTTCCATAGTGCTTTGAAGGCTAGTTAGGCCCTTGTTGGATCAGTTGCTAGCCTTTTTTTATGAACCAATTTTAATCCATTTCGGACCAAGTCTGGTGGGGAATCTGGTGTAGATTATTATTATTATTATTATTATTATTATTATTATTATTATTATTATTATTATTATTATTATTATTATTATTATTATTTA